AGAAAAAGCATTGTTATTATTAACTATTCTCTATTTAACTAATGCAAAATAAACATAAATGTAAATCATGCTTATCTCCTAAGCACACATCATGAAAATATCTGACACATTTGGTGCATTTCAACCATTTTGTTTTAAATCCCTTCCCTAAATTCTTATCAGGATGACACTTTTTTGCAAAAGCAGCATTTCCTTTTTACTGTTTTCTTAGTTAACCCTAATGCTGTTTGGCCAGAACCTCTAGGCCTGCCTCTTTTAGCAACTTTAAGTGGTGGTTTAATAAGTTTTAACCTTTGGACATCAAAATCCATAGTAAATAAGAAAATCCATAGTAAATAAGGAATCCATAGTAAATAAGGACATTTGGAACATTAAGGATAAAATTCGTCAAAAAGTAAAATCTATTATTTCATTGCATAAATTGTTATTTTCATAATTAAATAAATGAATGTTTATATATATAAATTAAATAAATGAATATTTATATGGAATCTTCTAATAAAAATACAATTATGAATGAATATTAACATATTGATTTCTTTGCCAAAAATAATGAAAGTCTATATATTGATGACAATGTAAAAGATGAAGTCACTGGAGTACAGGATGATCATATTGATTTTACGACTGAAAGTATGTATCAACAAGAACAGATAAATGAATCTTTTGATGTCCAAAGGTTAAAACTTATTAAACCACCACTTAAAGTTGCTAAAAGAGGCAGGCCTAGAGGTTCTGGCCAAACAGCATTAGGGTTAACTAAGAAAACAGTAAAAAGGAAATGCTGCTTTTGCAAAAAAGTGTCATCCTGATAAGAATTTAGGGAAGGGATTTAAAACAAAATGGTTGAAATGCACCAAATGTGTCAGATATTTTCATGATGTGTGCTTAGGAGATAAGCATGATTTACATTTATGTTTATTTTGCATTAGTTAAATAGAGAATAGTTAATAATAACAATGCTTTTTCTTTGTGTTTTTATATAACATTTTTCAATAAAGTTTCATTAAAGTTTAGAAGTAAAACCCTTATATATAATCCTCATTTTCATGTGAAGAGTTTATTTTCAAGATGTAGTATAAGTAAAAAGTAAGAAATAACTAATAATAACAAGTAACTTTAAATTCAAACAACTTAAAATAAAATTTATTATTGTAAATTTGCTAAACAATAATAAATTGCAAATTGCGTAAAAATTATTTTGTAAAGTAAACAATATTTAAAGTGGTACATTAAAACAAAGTTGCTCATACTTTTTTTTTTTAAATAAACTGATTATGTAGTCAAGAATAGTTTGAACTCCAAAATCTTCCAATTGTAAATGTTTACGTTAAATTTCCCATTATTTAAGAAATTGTTCAATTTAGTATTATCTAAACCACACAATTGTGGTTTAGATAATACTAAATATATGTGGTTTAGATAATACTAACTATAAACATTAAATTTAAAGTTTCACTTATTTTATTTTAGATATCGATAACAACATATGGTTGCCATATAATTTGAATATAATATTTAAGATTAGTACTGACAAACCATTATGGTATGCCAGCATTGATCTAAAATATTTATGAACAAGACTTTAACATTTCAAACAGATTTTGCAATCTACATAAATGTAAGCAAGTATCTTTCATTAATTTACTTAAAATAATTTTATCTTGTTCATATTTAAAAAAATGATCAGATAGTTGTTTAATGTGACTCTAAAAGGTAAAAATATAAGAAGCTTTTAAAAAGATTTTTTTTATATTAAAAAGTGATTAATAGTGGTAAGCGTACCTGCTAGGATGTGTTGTGAAAGATTTTAGTTTTTAAACTTTGGTTTTATTCACTAATGTGCAATTAAATACTTACAATACATCAAAGTGTTATAGGGACATTCAGATATCTATTATTGATGTTTTTAGTTTAATGTAAATGAATATATCAAGTTTTCGTGAAGAAGGTTTTAACATTTTCAAAAGCTAGACATAATATTGTTTTTATCAGTAACATTATTTCAGTCAACTTTTATTATTTAAAAGTTAAATGATTTTTTACTATAAAAGTTCTTGCGGTATAAATTATGACTGTGTGGTTATCACAAATAATTTGTTTAACTTACAAAGTTAGAGTTTCCTCACGGTTCTGTTCTTGGTCGTCTATTGTTTTTAATTTACATTAATGATCTAAATAACTCTGTTCACTTCTCGTTGGTTCATCTATTTGCAGATGATACCAATCTCTTGCATGTCAACAAATCATACTATTCTCTAAGTAAAAATATAAATTCAGATCTTAAAGGTATAGTTCATTGGTTAAATGCCAACCTAATATGTCTCAACACCGAAAAGACTAAACTAATTTTTTTTCATCTCTTAAAAAAAACTGTAACAACAACAAAAAAACTGTAACAACGTTGAAATTAAAATCACAAAAAAAAATAATTAACAACTATATCCCACGAGAGTTATTAAATATCTTGGTTTGTTAATTGATTGCAATCTTTCGTGGAAATTCCATATTGATGAGCTGCGCAAGAAACTTTATCAAGTTATCAAGTTTGGGGTCAAACTGGCAACTATCATGTTAACAAATTAATGTCATCTCAATGCCAATCCATTAGAATAATAAACTTTCAACCTTTCAAATCAGGTACATCAGATTCTTTTAAAAAACTTAAAATTCCAACCTTTCATTTGCTAGTAAAATTTGCTAATACTCTTTTTGTTTTTAACTCTCTAAATAAAAATTTACCTTCTTCTATTGCAAATTCTTTTATAGAAAGTAGACTAATTCATACACACTCTATGCAAAATATAAATAATAGAAAACCTATTTTACCATCATATAAAACTCAAAAGTATGGTAAGAATTTTGTTGTGTATCAGTACCTCTGTGAATGGAACAAGAGCCTTGTGTACATTGTGAATGAGTTCAATAAACTCTAACTCCAAACTCTTTTGTCATCTTTTCTTAATCTTAATCAAAATCAGTTTAAAAAAATTCTGAAAAATATTTTGTTATAATTTTTTTCTATTACTATAATAATTATCTTTATTTTTTGTTTGTTTTTCTTCTCTCTTTTATTATTACCTACATATATGATTTTTAAAAAGTTTACTTTATGTGTGTTTATGTTGTATGTCTTAATGTTTATTATTAGTCATATTATTTTTAAAAATGGTGTCACTTCTTTGATCAGACTTCTGTATGAGTGACACCATCCATACTAATCATTAGCTTATTATAATAAGAAATAACATATTATTTTACTTATTATAGTAATTATTATTATTTATAATTTTATTTTGTTATTATCACTATTATTGTTAAAAATTTTTACTATTGCTTATTATTTTATAATTATTGTTATTATTATTTAAAATATTACCTAATGTAATATTTCCTAAAATTGTATCATTGATAATCAAATTTGGTCTGTCAAGACATGGCTCATTATCTTGTTTTTTTCTTTGAAAAATCTTATTGTTATTATTATTTTGAAAAATAGCGAATTTATGTTTATTTCAAAACAAAAAAAAAAAAAAAATTTACTCTAATAATTAAGTTAGTTGCACCCATTTTTGGTTATGGCTTGTGAGGTTTTATATACTTAATAATATAAGAAATATTATTAATACACAAGTTTTTCTCTTATATAGTTAATACAGATAGTTTATAGTAATAAATAGTAAATAACCTAGATTAACTACTTTACCTTAATAAAAACAAGAACACATATAAAATTGCATGTAGATATCTATCATGTAATCTAGAGACAACTATAAACGAAAAAAGTTACCTTAGTTTATTTATGCACATGAACTAGAATTTTTTTCTCAATAAATTGTTCAAAAAACAATTACTTTTAAAGTAATTCATTCATGATTATTTTAGATAGATGCTGGCAAGCCATAATGGATTGCTTAGAACTTATCTAAAACATTTCAATCAAATAAACGCTGCATTAAACTGATGAAATTAATGACTCCCCAAATAAATGCTGTCGTTGTATTTTGATGGAAACAGAATGTTCTAATATAAAACATTTACTTTAAAAATTGCTCAAAATGTTTCTTTAGTAAATAATTTTCGATTTCGATTCAACTGCCAACTAGCTTTATTAAATTTAACTGATCCAACCAGCTTTATTGTGAAATATAAATCGAACTCTTATTATAAAATACTTGCGCATGCGTGTACAATATTACGCTCTGCTACGTAAAGCGCATTGCGCTCTACAAAGACACTGCGTTTTTGAATATTAAATATTTTGAGTATTAATTTTTAAATATTAAAACATTTTTCCGGGAATTTTTGAATATTAAATATTTTGAATATTAATTTTTAAATATTAAAATATTTTTCCGGGAATTTTTGAATATTAAATATTTTGAATATTAATTTTTAAATATTAAAATATTTTTCCGGGAATTTTTTTGAATTGTGTGTTTAATCAATTTTAAAAAATGTATTCTGATTTTTTATATTTTTTTCTGATGAGTCTTTATTAATGAAACAGTGTAAAATAAAAAAATTTTGTTAAGTGATTTTCTACTAATTTATATATATATATATATATATATATATATATATATATATATATATATATATATATATATATATATATATATATATATATATATATATATATATATATATATATATATATATATATATATATATATATATATATATATATAATTTGAAATGTGTTAATAACCAATATAAATAAAATTGTGGTTAAACACTGCATAAAAAACATTTATTTCTTTTATTGTTATTATTAAGTAAGATGCACTAAATTTAAGTTTAATATTTTTTAGCACTAGAGGCTTTTCAAAATCTACTAGTGTTTTTTTGAAAGGTCTTTAGTGCTAAAAAATATTAAATATTTAAATTTAGTGTATCTTAATAACAACAATAAAAGAAATAAATATTTTTTATGCAGTTTTAATTTGTTTGACCACTACTTTATATATATATATATAAAATTATTATTTTTTTAAATTGCAGCAAGTAGTTGGTTCTTAAAATGAAACAAAATGAAAGTTACGAAACCTTAGAGATTTCAGAAAGTTTAAACATGGATGAATCAATAAACTACTTGTTTTTAGATGAGGTCAGTGATGCTCTTCTATATAATGTATCATCATCCTCAGAATTGATTAGAATCTTAGAATTAAATGGATTTTATGGAGTTGATTTAGATGACTTTATGAGTTTACTCATTGAACGTGGAAGAATCAATCTTGTTGAAGCTATTATAGAAACTTTTCATGAGTCTGCAACCGGTGTGTATAAAATTAGTTATTTTTAATAAAATTTGAAAATGAGTTCGTTTTAAAAACATTTTAATTTTTTTTACTTTATTATTTTTTTATTTAGACACCTAAATTATGCATAAAAAGATTTTTTTTGGTCCAATCACAAAAAAAATCTTGAATACATTTTATAAAACTCTAACCCTAGAATGAGTTTTAAATAAATCTTCAAGTCATTTAAGGATAGGGATTTTTATAAAGTGAGTTTGAATTTTCTGACTCAAAATTTTAAACAATAGTTTTATATAACTTAAGAAAACAAACAAATTACTTTTCTGTTATTTATAGTTATAAACCTTGGAAAAGTAATTTGTTTGTTTGTATTATATTACTATGTTATGTATCATATTAATATATTAATAAGTTGTAGATGTATAAATTGATATTATTGTTATTAGTGTCATTTAATACTAAAGTTTAATAATAATATATTTTGATCCCTTTAATTTCATAATAGTCTTGAAACAGTCATCTGTCATATATATATATATATATATATATATATATATATATATATATATATATATATATATATATATATATATATATATATATATATATATATATATATATATATATATATATATATATATATATATATATATATATGTATATATATATATATATATACATACATACATATATATATATATATATGTATATATATATATATATATATATACATACATATATATATATATATATATATATATATATATATATATATATATATATATATATATATATATATATATATATATATATAAATATATATATAAATATATATATATATATATAATATATATATATATATATATATATATATATATATATATATATATATATATATATATATATATATATATATATATATATATATATATATATATATATATATATATATATATATATATATATAGGCACTTGACAATTTTAAGACATCTAAAACAGGCATTAAAATTGTATTAAAATTTTTATTAAATCTCTAAATCATGTTTTGTGCCGACTGAGGGTGAACACACGTTGACTGAGGGTGAGCACACAACAAATCACAAGTACATCAAAAGTTGTTGATAACAAAAAGACCTAAGTAACCTGAATTGAATTGAATAAAAGGTTTTAAATGAAAAAAAGTTTTTAACAATATTTAGAATCTACTAACAAGAGCATAAATTTGCAAATGTCAAGTTCTCTTTTAACTCCACCTTCTGGGTATGTAACTAATTTTATTTTATTTTTGAAGTAAAATTAATCTGCCAATGTTTTACAGTATTTTATTTTTAGATATATTTGTCGATAAGCACATTAATAACATAAAAACTCAGCATTATATTGGTTTAATAGTTTGTTTCACATTTGCAAAATACACACCTTTTTGTTGTGTCGTTAATAAAACACTGTACTACACTTAAATATATATATTCTTATAAGTAAGCCATCTTTAATATACATTTTTTATAGCCACGTATGTTTATATATCAAAACATTGTTCCTATTTGCCCGCATATGACTAAGGTTCACGGCTTCACATCCCTGAAACGTATTGGCTTTTGCCCCCTTGTCGACCGAGTACTTCTTCGATTCTGGTTAGGTTCTTCTTTAGTAACATGTAGTTCGGACATATCAGATTTATCACTATTGCATGGATCGATTTTTTCATTATTGGTATGATCATACCGCATACTGTCTTCATTATTCATAAGTATACTAGGCTCATTTAGGCGTTTGTTTATTTGGTCACAGTGTGCTAACGTACCCGAAGAGTTATTCCTTAATATGATTGCAGTGTTTAGACCTGCCTGAGAGATGAATGAGGCAGGTTCAGGTTTGGAATCTGGTTTTTGACGGTACCATAAAGGTGTCCCACTTTCGAAACTCATGGTGAGAGGGGATCTCAACTGCCTTCCCATCATCTTGGAAGGACTCCTTGATCTTCCTGCATGAGGTATTGTTCTGTAACTTAAAAGCATTCTGCTTAAATATCCACATAATAAACCTTTGTCCGGTGATTAAGCTCTTAAACCCATCTTAACTGTCTCTACCATTCTTTCAGCTGCTCCGTTAGATTGAGCCATCCTCAATCTAACGGAGTATGATAGTAAAATGATATGTGACACCATTTTAAAAAATAATATGACTAAGATAAGGTGGAGTCTTTTAAGGTACGCAACCTACTTTCTTTAGCCACTGGTGTAAGGTGGTATCATGAAATTCCGTAGCATTGTCGGATACTAAAACCTCTGGAACTCCATTTCTTGAAAAAACACTTTGTAGTACTGCCTTTACAGTGGTCGCTTCACGGTTATTTACCTTAATAACTTCCGGCCATCCAGAAAAAGAATCTACTAAAATCAAAAACAGTCCGATACCCTGTACATGTGCATGATCCATATGTACTCTACACCAAGGTTTATTTTCACTTGGCCATGTATGTAATGTCCTTTCCTTCTTCACTTTTATTTCGGCACATTTTTCACAGTTTTTCACATATTCTTCAACATCTTGACAGTAGCCAGGCCACCAGGCTTCTAATTTTAATCTACATCGCGTTTGCATTATGCCACAATGTATATTATCATGGATTGATTTGATGAAGATCTTTCTCATTGTCTTAGGAGGTACAATGAGGTCACCATTACACACAAAACCCTTTTTCGATAGTCAGTTTATTCCTAATAGATTTATAGGGTCTTTCTGTTACCGAGCATCTGCTCCAATTATTCTTCCTAATTCTGGTTTTGATGTCCATCAATACCCTATCATTTTCTGTTTCTTTTATTATTTGCTCAAGGTTCACTATATCTGACTCGACTAAGTGTATAAATGTTTCTTGGTCTTTCTCTTCATTTTGTGGTAGAAAGGACAATCTCGATAATGCGTCAGCATGAGGAATGTTTTCTCCCTTCTTGTAGCTTATTTCGTAGTCAAATGCCATCATTTGTATGGCCCATCTTAAAATTCTAGCGGATGTGACTTTGGGCAATTCTTTGTTACTATCAAATATAAATTCTAATGGCCTGTGATCTGATATTAATTTGAAATTTCTACCCAACAGAAAATGCCTAGCTCTGTGAGCAGACCATACAATAGCTAAAGCTTCTCTCTCAATATTAGAATATCTTGTCTCAGCGTCTGATAAAGTTCGTGAGAGATACAATACCGGATGGCCATTCTGTGAAAGTATTCCAGATATAGCTTTCTCGCTAGCATCTGTTGTTAACTCTAGATCTTGGTTGATGTCATAAACCTTCACTACGGGTTCTTCACAAAGGTTTCTTTTTAGCAATTCAAATGCCTGTTGATGCTCCTTCCTCCATTCGAATGTAACTCCTTTCTTTCTTAAATTGTTTAAAGGTAAAATTTTTTCAGCATATTTATCAATGTGTCGACCATAAAAGTTTATTAATCCTATAAATGACTCGAGTTCCTTTTTATTATTAGGAGGACTTATTCCAAGTATTTTGCTGACTAAATTACAATCTGGGGTAACTCCTTTTTCTGACAGTTCATATCCTAAAAATGAAAGACTTTTTGTTTCATTCACTGACTTTCGTTTATTTATGCTCATTCCCGATTCCTTCAATTTGCTCAATATTTTGTTTAAATTCGATTTGAGTTCTTCAGCATTTTTAGCACCGACACATATATCGTCTTGAAATATAATCATATTGGGAATAATATCGCCAACAACAGATTCTATCGCTCTTTGAATTATCGCACTTGCAGTCTTAATTCCGAAAGGTAAACAGGTCCATCTTAATAATCCAATAGGGGTATTAACTGTTGTTATTTCTTGTGCCTCTTTGTCCATCTCAATTTGATGATAAGCTCCCTTGAGATCAATTTTAGCAAAATATTTCATCCCTGCCATTTTATGAAATACGGTCTCAATGTTTGGGATGGGATATGAGTCTGAGCATATTTTTTGGTTAACACCTATTTTGTAATCCGCACAAATGCGTAAATCTATGTCTGTTTTTCTAACAACCACAAGCGGTGAAGCCCATCTGCTTCCACCAGGAGGAACCCTTTGAAGCAACCTTTGCTGTATTATTCCATTAAGTTTATCTACCACTAGTGGTCTTATATGGATAGGAAGAGGTCGAGCTTCAAAATAAGTTGGTTGTACGCCGTTTTTTAACAGAATATTTGCTTTGTAATTAATTAAATGCCCATGAACAAGAGGTTTTATACTATTTACTAATTTTGTGGCGTTGATATTTAATACATCCATACCAATTAGACCATGATTTTTTGTACAGTCTGCAACAATAATTCGTACGATATTCATTTTTAATTCGGTTTCCAAAGTTGCCTCAAATTCGCCTAGGACTTTTATAACTGTGCCATCAAACTGTTTCAGGCGAAGGTAGCATTTTTGTAATTTCGGTTTAGACATTAGTTCCCAAAAATTTTTTGGAATAATTGTGACTTGACTTCCGGTGTCAACTTGCATTTTTATATTGTAGTCATTAATTTTTACACTAATCTCTGAGTTTGTATCATTCATGTTAATGGAATACACACTAGCATCATCGTTCTCTATTTCCTCTACTATTTTTTCATATTTAGTGTTTGCTTTGCATACGTTTTTAAAGTGGTTCAGCTTTCCACATTTTTTACAACTCTTCCCAAATGCTGGGCATTTCCTAGGTGGGTGTTGAAGGCCACAATACTTGCATTTAATCATTCTTTCTTTATTTTTATCAATGTAATTAACTGAAGGAAGGTCTATGCTGTTTTCAATGTTGTTTTGTATACAAAACAGGATATTTGCTCCAGTTGCCTGATAAAATCAATACATGCTCCTAGTTTAGGCGATTTTCCACTCTGTATAATTTCTAGAGCTTTAACTCTCTGATCAAAAGATTGGAGACCATCAATCAATCTCATTTGAATCAAATCATCTTCTGCACTTTGGCCATCTCTTCCCAATTTTTCGAAGTTGCAAAAGCGTGAAGCTTCGCGTAATCTTTGTGCATATGATACGATGTTTTCATTGTTTTGCTGTTTTAATGCTAAAAATCGAATTCTTTCAGCAATTATTAGTCGTTTTTGAGGTCTCAAATGGGACATAACAACAGTTTTAATATCATCGAACATCATATTTTCTAATTCTTCTGGATATACCATAAGAGAAATCTTTTTAACTGCTTCAATCCCTGCTTTTGCCATAAATAAATCTGTTATCTCGTAGCTACCGTTTATCTCATCTTTTAATTTCTTTGAACGTGCGGAAGCTGAAAAGCATCTAATTTATGCTTCTGCATTATCTGGGTCATCTAAAGTCAAATCGTCCCTTACTCGTAGCGCCATTGTTGTGTCGTTAAAAAAACACTGTACTACACTTAAATATATATATTCTTATAAGTAAGCCATCTTTAATATACATTTTTTATAGCCACGTATGTTTATATATATCAAAACATTGTTCCTATTTGTCCGCATATGACTAAGGTTCACGGCTTCACACTTTTCAAGCCTGACAACAATGTTTTGAACAAATAAGACATGATTTTATTATTGTTATTTGGCAGTTTTTGATTAATATTTTGGACAAACATATATTTGACAAGTTAAAAGAAGTACTAGAAAATTTAGGAGTTAACTTTGAGTTGTTTGATAATATTTTATAATTTTTAAAAAATATTGTTGAAAAATATCATACTAGGTACGTGAGTAAAAATTTCAAATTGTTTAAATATTCTACTGCTATATATCATTATAAAGAGGACCAATACAGTATTTTAAAGGTGAAAAAATTATCAAAAACGAACAATCGGTTCAAAAGTTATGACAGTTTAAGTACCGATTTTTCGATATATGGAATTGTTGAAGAAACTGTGGTCAAAATTATGTTTTTCTTCATTTAAATTGTCATAACTTTATTTATTCTTATCGAAATACAAATACCTTGGTGTCAAAAGATAGGTGTAAGAGTGGGCTACAAATTTTTGTTAAACTCTAACCACCGGGTGTATCGGATGGACAGAGGGGGCACCAAACCACCACCTTACCCGTATGAAACTAAACATTTTTTCTTGAAAAAAGACTTTTTTTTCACACAAAAAAGTCTTTTTTCAAGACATAAGTATTTTAAATATACAAAAACATAGTTATAAATTATATTTAAGCACCAGAGTATATGAGAAGCGTATGTTAACGTTGGAGGTAGGTGTGGTGGTGATGGTTTGATACACCCTAGTATCAAA